CGACGATGGACAGCTACCACCTGCCGAAGGTGGACAGCCCCCAACCAATAAGGAGCTGTCCCGTCTACGTTCTGCTTGTCTCATTAAGTGCATGAGGCTAAGGGCGATCCCGAAAAGCCGACCGATAATCAAAGTACCAGCGAACAACATACTGAACCGAACCCTGGACTTTGCGTGACAGATCTCTGGAAGCTCCCACACGGATGCTTTGTTTATACTTCCGCATTGGATTTACGTTGAACTGCCTAGTGGGACTCTTGAGGCTCCGGTAAGGGTTCCCGAAGAAAAACACCGTCGGCGTGGGCTGCCGCGAAGTATGCCATGCCTCAGTCTTCGGGATCCATTTGGAAAACCATCTTTCCCAACTGTCTAGCTCTTCTTCCAGGAGAAAATCTAGCACAAATTTGCTCGTGCCTGGTTGACGGCGTTAACAGTTTCATCAAAAAGGAAACAGACGGTTACAATCGGGTTGATGTGACCTTCAGCATGCTTGTTTATGATGAGTTCACATTTCACGCCTGCAAAGCGGTTATTGGTAAGACTGGGCATCCCAGACGAACCCAAACAATGATAGGATTTGAGTGAATATGCACTGCACCCTCGAACAATAACCCGTGGTCTTCATGCGCAGCTCTAATTTCCTGCGGAATACAAAAGCTTAGTGAAGACTTTGGTTGCGAATCCATGAAAATGACACGGTTTAGTTTAGGCAAGCTGACAGTTTTGTGCTGATGATTGTAGTAGAGGCCGTTTCCGCAAAAATCCAGATGAGTGAAATGGAGACAACAAGAATGATCAAAAGAGCAATTAAAGTGAAATGTGGTGATAGCCGGAACACCTTTGTAAGACCTAGTGGCCGAGGTCTAACTGATGCTCCAAGTTACCTACTTTTCGGAGTGGTTTTCTTCTGGTCGCACCTGTGCAGAACATATGACCATTAGTGCACGGCTATGGTCATCAGCGTCCGAAAATCTGTGATCAGGAGTGACTGTCTTCGGTTGTTGCTGGTCATTCTTACCTTGCACCTCTCAAAATGCTTCCATACCACCAAGCGTCTGAATTAGTCTCAGGTGAGGAAGCCTTATTCAGTACCTTCCCGTGGTGATAGGACGAACCACGCCCACCCACACCTACCTCGTTGTGGCACTGATCATCAGTCAGATTGCCTATCAAGGTGTACTGGGCACCTTGAATTTAATCATGCCCAGAGGGTATGATCCGATTAACAGGACCCAACCTTCTATGGACTACGGTTTTCACACCGCTCCGCTGCCTTGCGGATCAAATCTTGGCCAGCCGAAGGCTTCGGTTGTGAACTTCCCTAGAAAATTCACCTGTCCTGACCAACCTGGTAGTACTCCACCCGCAAGCAAATCATGGACTTTCTTTTTCATAAAGACTATTGTACCATGATTTGTTTGCCAGTCTGACCTCAGACATGAGGTATACACACGCATGGCTGCCAGTGAGCCTATTAATAACTCGTCATTCGGGTACGGGAACTGACCTAAACCGTGACTTGAAGTAGTGAACTACTCAAGGTCTTACTAGGGGCCCAAAACACTAAACTAAACAGTTGCCAGCATTTATTCAACACTAGAAACGTAAATTGATACTGAGTTTCTTCTCTTAAAAGCATCCTCCTAAAGTGTAGTCCTCGTGTTGTTTCACTCTGAACACAGGACATGAGAAAACCGTTTGCAAATGGATAGCGACGTATAGCAGTAAGGCTCGATAGGAATCGAGTGGATAATTGCAGTCAGCACCAACTAGTTAAAACATGAGCCGCCGGCGAAGGAACAGAAAAACGAACAAAAAAAGAAGACGAGGTTTTAGATTATTATTACTACTAATGGTGATGAACATCAGACGAGGTGGACCCCATAGGTGCGGAAACCTGCTGTTCGGTGGTGGAAATCGTGTACCCAAGTCCCAGGAAGTGATACGGCGAACCACATAAGAACGCGCTAGTTTAGCGTGGTAACAGAATCAAGCACGGAAATGCAAGAGTTATCATAAAGACAAACGGTTTTCGCATCCAGTACTTAATGTATGTAGCCAGTTGGTACCGACTACACGAGAGCAGTGCACTAGTTGATCACGTTTTACAGGATATTGAACGCGCTCGAGCACACCAAGATAACGATATCCAGGCCAGGGGTGAGAATCAAGATAACTTACCACCGGGAATATTTGGAGGGAACCAAGGAGATTGCTCATTTTGACCGAAGTTCACTGCAAACTCGACGTTTTTCACGTAGATGTGTGGGAACAGTGCATTGCGATAACCAAAAGTTGACCTATCGACTCGGAAGCATTCACCTTGGTCGACACCGTTGACACTGAATCGCATTATGGCCTCCGTATTCGTGTATTCCTTGTTGCACCAGAGATTATAACTTGAACATTAAACTTACCAAGAACGCACCCACAACATCTCCCTCACCGAAGGTGCATCCATAATTCGAAAACTTATTGTCACATGACTTCTTTCCCGTGCCACCATAACCGTAAGACTGTGGCTCCTCACCCAAAGCGAATTCCGAATTCTCAGCAGACCAACCGACACGCACAACATGAGCTGCACCGCCGGCCGCTGAGTCCAGGTTTTCAACTGACAGATGCCGTGCGACTCTAACTTCGTAGAACGCCTAGGACAAATCAATAATAGGTCATGGAAACTTACTCGTCCATAAAGAAGGCCATAGTTTGCGCGGACTCCCGCCCACATCATCGAGAATCCACCCTCCGTAAGTGGTCGAGCAAAATAGCCGTCAGAGTCGACCATGAGGTTCAGGTCACAGTTATATGTATCAAGAAAGACAGACTCGCTCTTTTCCCAACCATCGGGTTCTTCACACATCTTGCTCTTGCTGGCAGGTGAGCGGGATCGTCTCCTGGGCGATCGGCGACTATCGCGATCTCGGTCGCGATCATGATCACGTTCGTGATCACGATCTCGGTCGTGGTCTCGATCACGGGAGCGTGAACGCGACCTCCGGCGGGGTGAATGGGAAGGAGAACGTCTTCTTTTCAGGTCCGAATCCGGACGTTGACGAGAATCCACATCTGTCGGTCTGGCAGCACAACCATTTTCGGAATTTAACGAATCACCTCGTGCATTCTGGAGTAAGAAAAATGACCAATTCTCACCTGTTCAGGAGTATCCACAGAACCACCCTTAACGGGAGACATGATACAAGGCGGCTCGTCTGTGTCTGCAACACTTATACGGAACTGTCTGAACTTACCCATTGGTGCAGAATTCTTATCAACAGCAGTTTGTTCAACGGATGAGAACGCCTCACTCAAACGATCTATTAGTACTTGTCGGGTACCGAATGTGTCAAGACCTCTTTTAGCTAGCTCGGCCCTCAATTCAGGGATCTTTAACTTGCCAATATCCAGAGCGTCCGACATAGGAGTAGCGCAATGTAATGATGGCACCACCTCATTAAAACGCACACCTCGTTAATTATGATGGAGGAACAATCAATATTGATAAGAAGAATGGAATGCCAGTTCATAATTTTTCTTATTTCATTTTCCATATGATGCATTACTATCATGATTAGACGGGTCAGGTCAAGTCCCAGGATGGGAGCTCTCTACCAATTGAAGAGAGCAGTGAGCTCCAGAAGGCCGCAGGTTGTACTACCCTTGTACAAGGCTTTTGTGCGCCCTCATCTGAAGTACTGTGTCCAGGCCTGGAGCCCATATCTAGCTGGGGATATAAAAGTACTCGAGAAGACGCAGAGGTACTTCACCAGATGGTTCCCAGGAATACGGAA